ACAACTGCATCCTGCTGCTCATCCTTTCCTTTCCTTTCCTTTTTTTGTGGTGCTGCTCTCGTAAACCACTCGTAAATCATTCGGTGCGTGGTGTTTGCATTTTTCCGACACATTTTGTTTGCATTGTTGCCGTGCGGAGTGAGCGATGCCCATTAAGGCAGACTTGGACCATGCGTGTGTGTGTGTGTGTGTTTGTGTGTGTGGGCAGCAGCACCTCCTTAAATCAATTGGAAACACCTAAGCAAAAGGTACAGATCAGCACGCACACGCACACACACACACACACACACACATCGCATACGTCAGACACAACACGTGCGTGTTTCGGTGTCAGTCCAAACACTTTTGAGTTGCAATCAGGCGTAAAAAGATGCTGCCCGAAAGCAATTTTCACTTTGTATGCGGCATTTTCCTGCTTTTTATGCCCTTGTGTATTTTTGGGGTGTTTTCAATTTGGCACGAAATATGCAACACACATAAAACATACAAGGTATACTTAACTCAAAATTCTACTCCAATCTATAGCAATGGATTTATTATCATTATCCATATAAAAGTATTTACGCAACTCTTATAAAAAAGAGAAAAAATATTTAAAAACTTAATTTTTTGAAGTATATTTTATAGATTCTGAAATTAGATAAATATATATGAAAGAGCATTAAATATGCGGTATTCCAAATATATATTATTATGGTATTCATTTTTTTTTTTGTCAGTAGCTACTGCTCTAGCTGACGTTTGGCAATCAGTCTGGGGATGGTTGCTGTGGCATCAACGCCAAAGGCATCGGCAGGGCTTCGATTGAGGCAGAGGCATACCAATTCTATTGCGCCTCATCAATTTTGCAACAATGCGACAGGAGACACAACAGAAAAACGCAACCAACTGCCTTTCCATTCCCTACGTGACAAGCTGGTCACAATGAAACAATTGTCTGGCCAGGTCCGTCCCTGGCTCTGGTGATGGGCTCTCGTCTGCTCTGTTAGGGTCTGCCATGGTCTGCTTTGGTCTTTGCAATCTCTCTTTTTCTCTTTGCTGTTGCGAGTTTGGCTCGTGTTGCGGTTGCCTCTTCTTGGTTTATTTGTTGCCTTTAGCTGGTTATTGATTTTTGTTTTCTTTGTATTTTGTTTTATTTTTGTGTGTGTGTTGATTTTTTCTTGTGGTTAGCGCGTGAAATCAATTGGAAAATGCACCTAATGATTTTTGTGATTCGGTTTGCTCGAATGCCCAAACTGTACTTAAGTGGTATTTTCGACATCTATTGGAGTATGCAAATCTCAGTGGCATGACACACCCATTTCCTTACAGCTGTAACTGTAACAGCAACTGTCGCAACTGGAATGTTATTGCATTAGAATCATCATTATCGGCACCCCAAGTGGCCCAAAAAAAACACAAAAAAAGAAACAAAAAGGGGTGCAAGCTGCAGACCTTAAGGGTTGTCCTTTAACCAAGACAATGACTTCGTGAACTCCTTAGACAAGGGGCTACAGGCTCTATCAACGATAAACGTCCGTCCTGAGGGTGTCTTGCTGCTGGCATAATTATGTCAACTTCTTGAAGTGCCGACATAGCCATCACCCATTAAATCCACATTGGGTCGGCTTCAGTTACTCCTGTACTGGTTCCTTGGGCGGAAGTGCGCCGCTTGCAATTTAAAAACGATCAAGCGTAACTATGCGCACGATATGATGAGCTCATAATTATGGGTGTACATTTATAGCACACGACGGGACATGCCAATAGGTCCTAAGCTAGCACCCAGTCAAGGGAAGTGTCGCCTCACAGGATACGCATGTGTAATAGGTCAGCAGCCCAGGGGTAGAACCTAGGTAAGGAACGGGTTCTTAGTCTTTCAAGATATATCCAGCTGAAGTTTTTTCTTAGCTAGCTGAATAGATCTTCAAAGCTTGACAAAACTTGTTCTTAAGAGGTTGAAGATTGAAAGCTCAGCCACAAGGCCAAGCTTAGACAAGAGTACGTTATAGATTCTAAAGTTAGAATTGATTGAAGACCTAGACCTTTAGATCCGCTCATTAATTATATTCATTCGTGTTCATTGAGTGTGCTTTATTCTTGGCTTTATTGCTCAAGGCTAGTGCTTATATATATTTTATCAAGTTGAATCAGATTAACAGATCTTTAAAGCTCTTTTTTTTAAAAGTATTTAATCCGTTTAACTCAATTCTAAATTGATTAGATTTAGCTGAAGACTCAAAGCTTAATACGTGTGTGTAGTTCACTTCTTTTAAGGTTGAACTTCTATTAAGAAGTTGTTTTAGTTAAACTGATTAAATTATTAAAGTACTTTCAAGTATCTGCTGATACTACTCAAAAATGCAGCCGACCCCTTGCCTGGTATCTTAAAGGCGTATGCCCTTTTAATCAACCCATTAAATCTTCAAATTTATATTACAATATTTTTGCTAAGAAATGGCAAATCATATAAGCCCTCTGCTCCAAGTTCCCACTAGCCATTATATTGATGGTCTGGCGAGGCATAGATAAGCACACCTTCATATGCTCGCATATGGATATAAAACAGAGGGGCCAAAGAGGGCAGGGCCCAGGCCCAAATGGGCCATTACAATCGGCTCCATTAACAATATTGGTAAGAGGGTCACACAGCAGCCAAAAAAACAAGAAAAAAAGGGTACACAAATGGGGCACTAAATGAAAATTATGCGTGTGCCCAAACACTCAGACTGGCTGCTGCCCAAGATGTGAGAAGGCAAGTGAGATTGTAAAAGCTTTTAATGCCCACAAATTGTTGCTTTTCCCTTTAGCTGGTTGGGTTGGGTTAAGGTCAACGCCCAACGCACAACGCTCGACCGCCCGAAAAATGCTGGGAGCTATATTTCAGCGCCCCTTTTTAGTAAGTGCTGAAATGTACATATATTTTTGCTGTTGTATGTAGGTCTCAGATTTTTGACGCAACGATTAATATCACTTAATTAAGGTGAAAATGTAGACGAGCGACAGCTGTCAAAAATGGGCGACGAATCGGACGTATCAAATGCCCGGCGATAACCCAAAATTACTGAAAGAGGCAAAAAATACGCTCATTTTTTTTGTCCCATTTTTCGTTGCAACTTCTTTTTTTTTTTGCTGGAAACTGGGGCTGAACCTGATGATGCAATTGCGCATAAGAGTTGTTTCGCAGGATTAGGGATTGCTGAAAACATATATTAATAGTTATTGTCATTGTGCAGGGGGACAACAACTGCAATCAAATCGCATTTGCCGTTCTACCAAAGCGGATTTCTCTGATGGCAATCAATCAGAATGCAGCAATTGGCAGTCGTCCAACAAAAAAAGGTCGTTTCGTCAGATTTTTTCCCTGTTTTTGCTACAGGGTGAAATCAAAATGCATTTAACTTCTGTGGTAGCGTTCGGGTTTTTTGTGCTTGGGTTTTGTTTGGGCTCGTGTTACTGTTTTTTGTTTTCAGAACAGCCCTTGTGCGAAAAATTAAACTGCATTTGTTGCAGAGTTGCAGACTTGTTAATGTCCAGTGAGTTGTGTGGATTTGGAGTATTGCAGGGACTTGAAACTTTGGGCTTTTGAGCACTTGGGCACATGTCCCGCTTTGTAACATGATTAAGTAGTACTCAACACGAGATGTACAAACAAAAATATGATAGCTCGAAATTATTGATAAAATTATGATCCCAAAATGTCATCAAAACTTTTTCTTAAATGTGACCCTATTTTGAAAAAAACCAGAGCATTTCTATCATGGTTTGATTTCTAGATTAAAGCTACATTTAAAGTTCGATTGCACGATTCTGGCTCGATTAAAACTTAGAATTCTCTAGCCGAGATAGCTCGAAGTTATCAAGTCAGCTATATATCTCAAATCTGGACAACTTTAATCCATTAAATCGCTTTAGAAGCTCGGCTCTATAAGGATTTTGTACTTTAGAAAAGGACGTGTTCAGATCGGGTTACTTTAATTCGTGACGGAGCACTTTTTGGAGCACTTGAAACTTGGCAGCTGGAGCTGGACTGCAATTTAATCTGCTTGGCGTTTGCGGATTTGACAAGTGCTTTGGCTCAAAAGTTGTTGTTGTTGCTGTTGTTGTTGTTGTTGTTGTTATTGTCGTAGCTGCTGTTGCTGTTGTGGTTGTCTCCGTGTTGTCTCTTGTCTCTTGTCTCCACTGTCACTTGTCTCTGTTGTCACTTGACTGCGTTGTCTTCCGTGTTGCACTTTTGTCATATGCCGCAGACGGCTGAGTGGCTATAATGTTACATTTCTAGTATTTGCCTTTGTTGGTGTGTGTGTGTGTGTGTGATTTTGTGTGCGTGGGTGAATGTCATTGTGTGTGTGTGTGTGTGTGTGTGTTTGTGCCACTAATGCATTGAAAGCAATCAGCCATGCTCATAAAGATAATGTGTGGCTGCTGACTTGGTATCGATAACAATGGGCCCGTTAATTGAATTGGGCAAAATGTTTTTTGAATGACTTTCTGTGCGTGGATTGAAACTGGGAACGCCTTTCAGCTTGAAGGTCGTCGTAAAATTGTAATGTTGTCCAGAGATTAATTGTCTTGTTGCTTTTTGTTGGCGATTTCATTTGAAATTCAAATTTCTATTGTATGGCATTTTAATGTAAGGAGCGTAAAGACATTGAGTGCAAACCCTCGAGGTCTACTGTGGATTATTGTTTAAGTAGTTAAAAATTGACAATGGTCGAAACATATGCGCCTGACAAGGTGATCTTAGACATGGTCGATGTGGTTGACTTATCCATTGTCCATCATTGTCAACATACCCTTTGCTTGAAATTGGATTATCTACAATCTTAACTTTATTATTGCTAAAATACACACACAGACCACATGCGGTTTTGCCGTTGGTTGTACATAAAATTAGTCAAACAATCTACTAACAACTTAGGATCTAACAAATATATATATAATCATATATCATACATATAGCGAGCGCGCGTTTTGATAGATATATATATATAGAGGGAAAAGATAAGACAGATATTTATATAAATAATAATAATAATTATATAAGTATGTATAAAAATTCATAAAATGTACATTCAGCTATGATCCAAGATTCTAGGATTTGGGCTTTCGACTTCGATTGGGATTTGTTCTGACAGAACGTCTCGTTGTTGTTGTTGTTGTTGGTGTTGTTGTAGGCGCTATTGTTGTTGTTGTTGTGGGTGTGGTTCTCATTGTTGTTGTTGTTGTGGTTACTACACGCGCACTGGGTCGCTCACGATAGACGCACATGATCTCATCGGCGGCATCAGGACAATCCACTTGCTACAAACGAAATGAAAGATGGAAGAGAGATGGGATTCCTTTAGCATTGAGCTATGCAAAGTATAATATTGAGCTAAACTAAAACTAATCTTTGTGTTAATAGTAAAGTTGAGTGGAAAACATAACTGATCGATAAGAATTGGATTTAATTGACATAAATTGCAAGTTATGCACAGATAGAACTTGCGATCTTCTGCTTACCTTGTCGCACAATTGATTAACTGTGATGCATTTACCACTCACACAGCGCAACTCGTGGGGCAGACAGCGACCTGGCGCTGCGGTGGGCGTGGCCATTGTGCTGGCCGTAGTGCTGGAAGTGGGGCTGCTGGTGGTCATTGTAATGCGTTCCCATTCGCGTTGTTGAGCCAGTGCCGCTGTGGGTATCGCACTGGCACTTCTTGTGGGCACAGTGGCTGTGGGAACGCTAAATTTGCTGGCTGTGCGATTGGTGCGCTGTGAGGAATACTTAAACTTGTTCTCCGAGTCGCTGGTCATCATGATCTCCTTGCTGTCGCGAAAGTTCACTAAGGCAAAACGTCAGGAGTTCAGATATGAAAAGGGATTTCAGAATATTCTCATCTATTCTCATCTTACCAAAACCCTTGGGTCCACCCAATGGCTCCTCTGAGCTAGAATTTACTAACCGCTCTGGCGCTGCCACTTGATGTATCTGAAACTTGGTCTCGGTGCCCGCCTCCTCATCCGTGGTGGCTGTGATGTATGTGTAGAGCTTCTCGTTTGTCTCGTTGGGTGAGAGGAAACTGGCATAGGAGAAGATGCGCGGAAAGGCGTTTAGCTCGGCCTCATCGAAGGGTGCCGTATCCCCGGAACCATAATCATCGCAATCCTCCTCATCGCTGGCATCGAAGCAGTCATAGTTGAGATCACAGCGCAGATTCTCCGCAATGCACTTCTCATTGGAGCGACAGCGAAACTCTTCGTGCTCACAAACCAGACACTGTTCATCCTCATCCTCGCCGCCGGCACAATCCTTGATATTGTCGCACTGCCACTGCTGGGGAATGCAGCTACCATCATGACACTGGAACTCATTGTCATAACAGTAGTCGCGTCTACGTGTCGGATCCTCGCACTTGTGCGTCTCATGCACATCGGGATACTGGCTGCAGTCGAACAGTTCACTCAGCTGATCCGAGTTGGCAATGACAACCGAACAGGCCTCCAGTATAGCTAAAGCGGTCATTTTTGATTAATTATCCACCCTCCCCATCTGCATCTCCCTCTCTCTCTCTCTCTCTCTCTCCTCTCTCTCTCTCTCTCTCTCTCTCTCTTTATCGCTTACCTTTACAGATGCGCCTGCATGGCGGCAGCTGGCCAATGTGCGAGGGACGACACTCGGGTTCCAGGGAGGCGCACACAAACTCCACGGCCCGCGATGAACAGTTGGCATTGATGAGTTGCTCGTAGGCCTCCATAGAGGCGGCATCCCGTGGCGCTCCATTCTCCTTGTTGTTGTAGGTCAGATCATAGTCCAGCACACCACGACACATGGGCAATGCCGTTGAGATGCAACCGCTGGCACTGCTGCTCGACGGCGTCGTTGTCATCGCCTCAGTGGGTCTGCCACTGACCCCCGACGGTGGCGGCAGAGTCGGAGACACACGCGTTAATAGATGCACATTCGCCGGTGGTGTTGATTGTGGCTTGGGCAATAGCTGTGTATGGGGGAGTGAGAAGTGAGGAAATTTAGATTGGTAGAGGGTAGTCTAATGAGGTTTAAGATCGCTAAAGATGCACAAGACTACGGATATATTTTAAGCCATTAACAGTCAAGTTATACTGAAAAGTTTGGTAATTTAGTTCATTGTGTTATTTGACTCCCAAAGCTATCGATGCTTGCTATAAATGTTTTCCCATAGATTTATTTTGTATTTTAAAAATTACACAATATGCAGAAATATTCGCACAATGCTTGTTTGTTTCATTATGTTTTTTACACGGCTTACACATCTTATATAGAATATGATGGCTTGTTAGATAAGCTAAATTTAATTAAAGAATACAAACTTATTTGCTTTCTAGAGGAGGCTAAAAGTTGTACATTCTTAAGAGCGTCTTTTTTAACTTGTATTTCTAATTACCATAAATATTACCATACTACATTTGTTGTATATCTTTACTTTTGGAAAATTGCATCAAGCAAGATTTTATAAATACTACAATTAGTTATAGGTTAAGCAGTAAATGAATATTGTTAATTTGAAATTGCCAAAGATCTTCTAATACTTACATCCTTGAGCATCTCTAGCATGCGCTTGTCATGTTCGATGGGCACTCCGAAGCTGTTCTGATGGCCAGATGTGAAGCGTATACTGTCCGCCGGCAGCAAGATGTCATCATAATCATCGTCCCCCTCCAAAGAATCTGCGCCATTAGTCACCGACAAGGCTGTGGTATGCTCCCTGTTCATATCGATTGCTTTGAGTCGCGTGGATTCCTGTATGATATTCCTATGATCAGTGCTCGTTGTCGGTAACTCTGTTGTAGTCTCCTCCAGCCCCTCGCACTCGGTGGTGGAGCTGGCCTCGTAGCGACGTTGCAGGAAACGCGCTCGAGTCACGCTGACATCGTGCAACCACAGGCAATAGGTGATCAGGCCAAAGAAGAGCAGCACACTGGCCACAAAGATGATGGGCCATCGTAGATATTTCCAGCGACAAGCGCGCCTCGCATAGCCCAACAACATAAGTGTGGGCGTTGGCTTCTCCTGTTGTTGTTGCTGTTGTTTCCCAGCCCGGTTCAAATAATAGTTGGCCGTCAGGGGATATTTGTAGCGGCGCACCTGAAGCTCGGCCAGAGTCTCGGGACTGCCCAATACACCGATGCGGTATTTCTGGGTATCTGCCCAGCAGGATTCGACGTCACTGCTGGTGTTGCTTTTGCTGCTACGCAGTGTGGAGGCACGCGAATAGTCATCAGCCTTGGCGTCATCCAGAGTTTGTACCGTTATGTTTAGGCCATGCGGGTATTTGGTGGGCTGACGTCGCAGTCCCGGACCAGTTGATGTTGATGTCTCGGCGGCATCTTCAAGCGGAATGTGTCCGTCCATCTGCTGGCGTGTCTCACTTTTTTTTGCTACAGTCAGCCCCAAATGTCAATTGTCAGACAACACAGAGATTACATAAGCAATGTTTGCTGCCGGCGGTAATTGCTATTGTCTCTCAAAGCAGTCGTCGCATCGACGCTTTTGCCATTTGCTAATGTCAGAGCGATCACAGGCAGTTCCAAATCCAAATTTTCGCTAGAGCTTCAGTTAGATAGATTTCCAATGTTGTTCAGTTCGTCTCCTGCAAAGAGTGTTTATCTTTTGTTGTTTGCCTTTTTTTTTTTTTTGGGAAAGCAAATCGAATTGCAAATATGCAACAAAATGAAAGTGCGGCGCAATAATTCATTTCCATTTGAAAGTTGTCGCTCGACTCGCCTTGAGTCGAATACACTTTGAGGCTGCTGCTTCTTCAATTACGCGCATTTTTCATTTGCCTAATTTACGCAGACCATTAAAGTCAAGAAATCACCAGCATCAGCAACAACAACAACAACCACAAAAACCACATTTAGCTTCTTCAAATTGCTGCAATTTTTGATTTTGTTTTACCATCCTAGCAACTGCAACTGTAATAGATAATCGCATATTTTTCTTGGCCCCCAGATGCCCCAAACCTATTGCTCAATAGTTTAGAAAGATAAAAACGCGAATGGCTTCAACAAGTACGCGCACATTGGGTAACCCAACGAGTCAAGTTGAGCCTCAACCTGAACCGCAACCTGAGACTGAGTCTGAGCCATGCTGGCAAAAGGCTGCCTTTGGGCCAAGACAAGCTCAACTTGTTGGCTGGGAAGCGGACAATAATGAATAGAAACAAAACACTTGAGACCCATAAAAAGTTTATGCATACACTAACTGAAAAAGATTTCGAAATTGTTATGCAAAGCATGAGTTCACTACAAAGAAGCCAAATATTAAGAATCTTAATGAAATTTCAGTTGATCTCTATTTTAATATCTTTCTTGGAACTCGACTCTAAAATTGTACTTACGAATTCGAAGAGCATGATATGAATATATATAAATAAATACATTTTATTGAATCTCTACTTTGTTATATTCTAAGTTTAATTTTGATATACTTTGACTTCTTTGCCTGGTTTTCTCAGAATCTAAGTTCTATCTATGAAAGTCAAAGATGATACTTTTCTTGGTAGTTTTTTCAGTAATTATTTCATTTAGATATAATTACAGTTTTCTTACAAGCTGAACTTGCTATTGTATAGCCAAATATCAATAGTTATACAGCTTGAATTTTCTCATGCAACTTTCGGTTTCTTTAATTACAACTTAAAGTAAGCATCTCGTATGTTGAGTTGTAATACTTTCAGTTAGGGTAGTGCTGGTAAATCACTAGTAAATTTGCGCTTAGCGGCTGGCTACACTTCGCTGAGTGTTGAGACTTCATCAGCGTCTTCCTCTTCCTCTCCCTTTCTGTTGCATGCCACCTCTTTAGATTCGACTCCCTGCCTGACTGCTGACCTTTTCACTTTTGTTTTCATTTTGAGCCGTTGGCTGGTTTTAACTGGTTGCCTGTCTGCCCTGCCGTTGCAAAGTGCGGCTCAAGTGCCACAAGCTAGTTGCAACTCTTGGTTAAGGCAGAGGCACACACAAACAACAAACAACCCAAAGGCGAACAACAAGCAGCAAACAGCAAACAGACAGCAAATTTAACAGCTGTTTGCCCCGTTCGTTGCTCGCTTAATGAGCTGCAGCATAACTCTCAAAATCTCCGCTCTGTTCCACTCTACCACATTTTGCCACACATACACAGACACACACACACACACACAGACGCCTCCACACCCATAGCTCACCCCTTCCATTCTCAGTGCACTGTGCAAAATTTGTTGGCATCTTATTAATAGCATCGCTTGCAGCATCATAATTTTGTGTCTTATAGATTTGCTAAGGCCAGTTTGTGTGGCGGGAAAACAGCTGTGGCTTTTAAATATATAAGTACAAAATACAAAAGGTCATAGTGGCAATTGACGACGGCTGTGCTTAGCACATTGAAGAACCTTGCTTTAGGGTCACCTTGAGGCACACTAAATGGGTGTTGTCCATTGACTACAGCAGCCAGTGCAATTACGTCGTCTAGCCAAGTTTTCTGTGTTTCTTGGTATTTTTTTGTTGTTTTTTTGTTTTGTTTTTGGTTCGAACTACAATGCCGTTAATAGGTTCCGCAGTTGCCCCATAAGCCAAGCTTCATAACTAATGTGTGTGATGCGCGTGATCGAAGGGGCAAAAATGTTTTGCGGCCAGTCGGTTAAGTCATCTGGGAAATGTGCTGCCATATAGAAAATTACAAAACCTAAACGATATTTAGCTCTGCTGCGTAATGTATACATTATTATATCCCTCTAAAGAAACTTTAGATCTTGAGCAATTCATGAATCTCAAAGACAAAAAAGTGAATTCTTTTTGAGTTCAGAAAGCGGTTACAATTGATTACAATTATATATCAATTATTTTTTCATTGAAATATTTCAATATAAGAATGGAATTTAGAAAAATTGCCAATTATATTAATTATTAATTATAAGAATAAAATATCAGAGATACTTAAGATCTTGTGCAATTTATAAAACGTTCAGAATTTCTGTTATAATAAAAAATGATCACTAATAAAAATGATTAGCAACATTAAAAACCGAATAAGTTTTATCGAAAGAAAAAAACTAAAGATATAAAAAAAGCTTACTTAAATTATAAAATATTTGAAATACAATAATCGTAATGAGAATTCATGTAATGTAACAGGAAATATTGCATCGAAAAATTGGTTAAGATGCGAAAACTTTTTTTTTTTAACCTATTCTGTTTAGGCGAACTACTCGTCGAAGACTTCAAAAGTGGTTGTTGAACTGTTTGAAGTATTTCTCGTCAAATTCTATGTGATTGGCAATCGCAACTTGTTTAACGCCTCTCACCTCTCTAGTTTGTAACTGTAACTGTGTTTAATCATAGGTAATATCTACTTTGTAATATCTAACAATTGAGGCGATTGTGCTAGCGAGTTATACAATGGCCCATTGGAGGCTCATTGGGGCAACCATTAGAACACCTTTGAGCAATGAGTTAACGCCTGAATGCGCCATAATACGAAAACGTGGTTAGTGCAATCTTCAATCTATGCTCGATCTATTGCACCACACACACAAACAGTGGAGACTCGACACTGGAGCTCAGATTCGACTTGAAATTAGAGTCGGAATCGGACGAGACGTGATTCGCATACTGGGTAACTGCCTAACTGGCTAACTGGCAATCGACCTATGCACCACATTCTTGACATGGCTGGCGACTAAATTGCATTGATTACTCGAACTTGTTGCGGCATCGGCAACAACAACAACAACAATTGCAAATGCCAGCCAGACATTGAGTTGCTTATAAGTTAAGTCATTTTGTGGCTTTAATCTACGCCAGAAGCACAGCTGAAGCAGCACATAAAGTCAAAGCTGATGCTGTGCAAACTGCAGCTTAAAATATGTTTTTTTTTGTTTTTTCATTTTTATTTCTGTTAAATAAATTGTTTATGCTTTTCGATGTTATTTGTTAAAGTATCGCTCAGTTGCTGGCCAAGATGAGTGCGAGGTGAACCAGCAGCCGGCTATAGTTAGCAAGTGGCCAACAGCTTCGAGACATCCACTCTGGTCAACTCTATAGAAACTGAGCAATGCAGCTGCTGCAACAGCGGGTGGATATAGATACATGTGTATTGTGCGGCTTGTTGCATTACTCTGTGTAGATTATGGCAGCCGAAACGACTATGGTCATATTTGTGCATGCTACAATTTTGTAAAGTAATTTGCTAGTTGTCTGTAACTCTACAAGTGTATAGATATATCTATATATATATATATATGTGTGTGTGTGTGTGCGTGTGTTGCAACTACAATTGCGATGCGTCATGGCAGTGAATAATCGATAATTGAAAGAGTATGCCAAGGATGTAGCACTAATGTTGGGGGTGAGAAAAGTGACCCATAAGCGAGTTGCCGACTCTATGTTGTGTATATGTTGTATGCCAAGTTAAAACTGGAGTGAAGTGTGATCGATCATTGAGTGAACTGTGAAACTGTGACTGACTACGAGGTGAACTGCATTGGAAGTAATCAAATATGCAATACCTATTCAATAATCTATCATAAGGAATGCACTTGAGCAGAATAATGCCATGAACAGTCAAATGAACTTCGAATCGAATACAAATGAGGCTAAAACTAAGGAGAAGCAAAGAGTAGTTTATAAATATATATATATATATATAGTTTGTGGATGTATTTAATAAATTTTAAATATTTTTTATTGGACACATGAAAAGAGGTCATCAAGCAAAAGCAATTTAATTAATGTGTTTTTTTTCTTCAAATTATTAAAATAAAAAAAAAATACTCAATTCATAAATCAATGAAATGCCAAAAAATTAGTTGAGGCATGTTCAAAAATCTCAGCAGATTCCAGCCCAAAGATACTATTCATTAATAATAATCTCAGAAGGTATTTCCCAAATGTGATCACATTGCGGTCACTTCAGCTTGAATACTAATTGCTTAAACGCCAATCATAAAACTTGCTAATTCATTTATTTCTAAGCATAAAATCATCAATCGAGACAACATGCAATTATTAAAATTATTTAATTAATAGTAATAAATATTTTTTTAAATTTGTTGATTAATTTTCAGAACATGAAAGGTGTTTTAGTATTCATGTCTTTAATTCGATTAACGCTAAGCACTCATCACGTTTGATTTAAAGTATATATATATATATATATATATGTAGTCACTCTTTGGTTATCTGCAAGATGCACACCGAATGCAGCTTAAGCTCAACACAATAATCAACTTGTCCAAGAACTTTACGGACTTGCATCTTCTGACGAATTGCAGCTCATTATCGTTAAATTTAATTTATAAATTGTCGCTGTGTGTCAATCAGAATTGCAACATCACTGACACTGATGGTCTTTCGCACTTGTTGTCTAGTTGTTGTTCACCGGCTGCTGCTCAGACTGGCTGTCAGATTCATTTAAATAGATCTGAAATTAATGCAGCTAACTCTATTTTTTCCATTTTTGCAGATACCTGTTTGCAGCTAGTCAGTCTCACACAGTGCTCATGATAATTATAAAAATGATCACAGATCACACGAGAACCTCACACTTGACGCTTTTCCACGCTTTGATTTTGCTTTTTGTTTTTCATCTGTATTTTTAATTTTTTTTTGGGTCTTGGGTCTTCTGCGGTTGCTCGACCGACCGAAAATTAATGATTGCGAATATGAATACTATGACGGGTACTTGAGCTCACTGGTTGACGTTGTTGCTGGTGCAATTATTGTTGTTGCTGTCGGTTGCTGGTTTTGGTCATGTTTGTTGCCATGTTATATGTTAATCAAAATTTATTGCAATTCTTTTTACTTTGCGATATAATTAAAAGCGCAAACTTCAAATATTTGTAAGTCGTTATTATTATTATTATTTAAATGTTGTTGTTGAGTTTCTTATTTGCTGTCGATTGCCGCTTGCACATTGGTAGACCACAATTTGTTATTTTTTAGTTATTATGCGATAATTGCAAAAGTCATAGTTTGTATAAAACAAAGCGTGTTGAGTTTGGCAAGTGTTTGCCGAGCATTTTGAACCTTGCACGCTAACCAGCTACAAGTTGCCAGTTACATATGCAGCGCACTTGAAGATACATTTTTGTAGCTACAGCCACAGCCAGAGTCAAGTTGTGTACTTTAAGTATTCGCACTTGCAGCTAAGATCAATATTAAATTTGTAGTATTATTGTATATTAAGTTGGTCAATATTTATGCACTTGAAAAAATCACTTGGCTTATTTTGAGCATTTAAGCATAGTTTTCAAGTTGTATTTTCTACACGAATGTTACGCACTTGTTGTAATTAGACTCGATTAGGTTGTTGTTGTTGTTGTTGCTGTTGTTTTGATTTGTTGTTGGCTTTGCGGCACGCGCGTCTCTTGGCCAAAAGCTCCGCACGTTTGGCTGCCAAAATAACGACTGAAACCTTTGCCAGTTGGGCGATTGACTTGAAGACGCCAAAAACTGAGCATGCGCAGCCAACGCAGACTGCGCACAGTGAAGCCAGCAGCGACGTCAACGCCAACGTCAACGTCAACGGCGACGGCGACTGTGACAGCAGCGACTCTGATCTCTCTTTTTTATTTTATTTAATTTTTTTTTTTTGGTATTTGTATTTGTTATTCTTTCTTCATCATGAAGAGACTTGCGCTGGCCGACGAAGACTTGGCTCCGCTTTGGAGTTCAGCTCAGTTTGACTTTCGGTTTCAATTTGATTTCGTTTTTCGCTCGACTCGATTGAGCCTGCAACGGAATCTGGTATTGTAACTCAACAGATACTGGCTTTGGCTGTCTGTCTCTCCCTCTCCCTCTCTCTCTCTCTCTCTGTCTCTCTCTCTATCTGTCTCTTGAGCTTTGACTCTTAACTGGTTCGTATTTGGACTCTCTTAAGGTGAGCCGCAGCATTACTGCTTCCATTGGCTTTGCATCGTTTTATTTATTTGATTTTTGTTTTTTATGCGGTGCAGTCGTCAGTGGTGCAGTGTGTTAGCTGTGTGTACCTGTGTGGCACCGCCTGCACTTTTGGCCACGATTGCATTGGGCCAGTTGGAGGCTGCTTTTGGGCATTGTTGCCAATATTTTAATGGTGACGTTTATGTTGAAGTTATGTTGCCATCTTTTCTATCTCATGTATAGTATGTGGTTGCATGCCTCCTGAGTGGGTCATTACAGCATTGTTTGTGCCTGCTCTCAGATGTTCGAAGCGTGCCTCTGCTATATATATATATATATATAAATATATATGTGTGTGTGTGTGTGTGTGTGCGCGGCCGAAAGAACGTTTTATACTTCGTTTTTTGAGGTTTTTTTTTACTATTTTTTTTTTTTTGAGTTATCCCAAAATATTTTGTTGCGAAAAGTGTTGCGAAGTTGTCGGTATTTGTGCCGGTTGTATTGGAGACATTGCGAAAAGACTTAGCTTACAGTGTTGAAATATGCTGAGGATGCTTAACAGCTTATTAGGAAGTTGTTTCACAGATATGCTCTAACTTTTGATCTTTACTGGTTGAAATTAATAATAATGGTCGAACGTGTTGAAAAATGACTTTAGTATTGTCATTATGTGACTTTTGTTTGCCGATCTTTATGACAGTTTTCAAATATAATGATTAAGTGCCTTGCGATATTTCAACAATATAATGATTAAGTGTCTTAAGAATTCTGTAAAAAAGAGTCAACGAACGCCTGCCTTTGGCTAAATGTTGAATATAATGTCATAATTTATAGCTCGGTTCTTCTCAATATGTATTGATATTTAGTATACAACTGGTTTTTTTTCTTCGATTTGTTTATTTATTTATATTTATGTAAGGCCAGTTTATAGTCTAAAACGTGAGGCTAAACTTAGATTCAAGAGCAATATTCATTCTCATTGATTGCAATTGCTTGCCTCTGCTCCTCCTTGCTCACATGCGCCACTCCCTCGACTCCAACCGACAATGACAACGCCAAACGAATGCCTCCCACCCAGCTACAGTTTCAATTTGCGGTCGTGGTCGGCATCTTGGCCCACTCCATGGGCAAGTGGCAAGTGCACTGTAATTGGCTCAGGCCAGCGGCTCACGACTGTGGCCCGAATCAGGCGCAGAGCACGATCAAAAAGACGTCAAAATAAACGACGGAATCGATACGCAATTTGGTTTTTTTATGGTCGGGGGCCACAAGGTTAGTGGATTTGTAGATTTGTGCACCATTTTGTTGTTGTTGTTGTTGTTGTTGTTTAGGTGTCCGGTGCGTTTGGCTCTGTTGATTTGCCATTGCTTTTTATGGCAGAGATTTGCAATTATGAATGGTTCGGTGCGAGCTGCATTCTAAATGTCAATGTTATTGCACAGCTAACTGCACGTATCTGTGAGATACATTTTTCTGTTGGTATTTGTAGCTGTAGTTGTGGCTGCTGCGACGGGCGGCGGCTTTTGGTGTGTGTGGAATCATGTGGAATTTCCGCTATTCAAAACACGAATGCGACGCACCTTAAAAGCCACCGACTCCTAAACGACTCCACACAGAGTCTGTGCAAAGATATTGAAAAATACTTGAGTAGTCTTTGGGAAAGAAAACCAAAATGAAATAATAATAAAAATTTCATGCACTTGGCGCTCATTGAGCGCCATAAATAATGTGTTTTTTATTTTTTTTTGCCATTGTGCGTTGGTTGTTTAGTTGTTGTTTAGTTTTTGTTTGTTGTTTGTTGCTTGGGCTGTTGCTTCGTTGTTCGTTTCTTGACTCTGAGCTCAACTGAGAAATCAAATCAATCATTTTGCACGGAACGCCGCTAAAAAATGCAATTGTTTTTTTTTTTTGTTATTTTTTTGCTGGGTGGGTGTGTGTCTGTGCGTGTGTGTGTGTGTGCGTGTGTGTGTGTGCGAGTGTACTGTTATGACAGCGTCAACAATGCGCAGCGATATTAAAGCGATTAATTAACACAAAAGAGTTCAACAACAAGCAGAGACAAGTAAAAATCGCTCATACGCTCCGTTGAACTTCAAGCGAATAGCGAAAAACACGCACAAGGAAAAATCCACGCTGATCATTTAAGTATGTATGTGTGTGTTTGTGTGTGTGTGTGTGTGCCAAGGTGTACCAAGCGCATGATTAATTGTGTAATTGAAATGGAATTAAAAGCGTGTAAATAACGCGAGCAGCAACAAAGAAATCAGAAGTCAAACGAAAAAAAATGAAGAACGGCTTAGACATGCCGCATTTTCAATACTCTTTTGCAAAGCGGTTCAATTCGTTATATATGGAAGAGCTATAGGCACAGAAGTGTGCGCAATAGATCTAACTAGGCCACAATGCATGAAAATACCCAATAATAAAAGACTTATTGTCAATCGTTTGAGTATAAATAAACTGACAGTCAGGAAAAAGACATACAGACAAACAGACGGAGATGGCTATATAAACTCATTTGTTAGTGCTGCTTTATGGGGTCTGCAAAGTTTTCCTTTAATGTGTTACAAGCTCACAATAAAAATCATAATACCCTGTCATAAAAAAAGGAAGAAAAACTATAAAAAGTGCAAAGAAACGCATCGATGCAGGAGCGATGCAAAAGTGCCGTAAAAGTGTTGTAAAGTAAATGGAGAGCAATGGAAGCTGGAAGTAGAAATGAAAAGCATATAAAAAGACGACTGGCTAACGGGCACTTTAATTGAATTTATGGTAAATGCAAATGAGTGGGAAACTGAAATAAAAATCAGCAGCGAATTGATTGAGGCGAGAGAAATATGCAAAGAGGCAGCAACAAAGCAACAGCAGCAACATATTGTGAGTAACAACAACAGCAACAACAACAGTGTTGCCAGTTGTTGACTGCTGCTGCGGCTGTGGCGCGATTACGATTAAACACGCTTGTAAATACTGGATCATAAAAATCGAGGCAAAACAAAAAAATAAAATAAAAATATATATATAAGTAAAAAGAAAAAGACACATTAAAAATGAACAGAAACTGCAACCGTAACTTAAACTGAAAAGTGTGCGACTCCAGCACGAGCCCCAACTTGAGATAATCGGTTTAAAAGTTCAGAGCGAAGGCGACCCAGGAAAGACGCTACACACGCAGCAGGCATCGCTAAATTGTGGTAGCACAAGAGATTTACAACATACACACATGTTATAGACAAATAAATATATATAATTATATATATACAGAGGAAACCGGAAGGATATAAAGCTAATAGCGGCAAAGTTCCTGTGCAGAAATCGAAGAGAGCGCACACCTTTCGCAACTTTTGATTGAGGTGAACAAAACATAATATAAATAATGGGATAAAGTTGCAAGTGAAAATGAAAGGCGAAAAATTAATTGAAATACGCACAGAAATATATGTATATATTTATATGCTTTATATGAAGCATTTTATAATGAGTTTCCCAAAGAAATCAAGCAAATAAAAAATAAATGTTAATTATAAAAATCATTTTGTAAAAATTTATAGAGCTTTAAATAAATTACTTGTTGTTTTGTGACTTCTTTTTATAATTTAAAATTGTTTTTCGCTGACTACAGGTCAATAAACATATCAATCACAAATAAATTACAGAAAAATAAACTAATTGACTGATTAATTATGATGAAGCGAAAAAAATGAGTAAAATAATATTCTAAAAAATCGATGTCTTAATAAGTTTGAAAACGTATCTGACTTCAGAATTGCGTCATTAAGCAAATAATTGGATATGGTCGATGAATTTAACAAGCTTCGCTGGTGGATAGGATGGAACGCTGAGAATGCTGCAAATGAGACATGTATCGATTATCTAGTTTCGAATAAATGAATAATAGTAATGTAAGTTGTCTTATTCTAAATTCAATAGTGAATTCTTTGATTTAAACGTATAATATCTCTATCCGATAGTTCTTATTAAATTGTAAAAGATTCATGCATAAACATAAATGCTTTTTATTAGTCTGAAAACTTGTCTGACTTGAGAATTGCGTCATTAAGCAACTAATTGGTCATGGTCAAAATTTCTAACAAGTTTTGCTGGTGGATAGAATGGAACCAGGGAATGCTGAAAATGAGATAGCAAATAGTGTAGTTTTGAATAATGATATGGTTGTCTTATTCTATAATCATTAGTGAATACTTTTATTTAAATTATTAAAATAATAAAACCCAAATGCCTTAGAGAATGTAGCGCATTTCATTTAAAAAAAAGCGTGTTTTCTGCTTGCTTTTTGCTCTCAATTAATTTGCCTGCTGCTCAGTTGAATGAGTAATGTCCACCTTGATGAGGAACAGAAGGATGAAGTGGCTGTTGGCAGGGGTGGGGTGGTGTCACTGCCACTGCAACAATTACATTAACGCTATAAGCGGGCAACGGGCAACGGACCCCGTCGCCAAAGCCAAAGTTAAAGGCAGAAACTGAAACAGAAACAGAAACAGAAACCGAGTCAGATAGAGCTGGAGCTGGATACAAACACTTTTACAGAGGCAATCTTTCACACAGATACTCCAATCCATACACAGTCCACTCTACAAGCCACGAAGGTAGGCTGAAGTGCCTATTTGGAGAGC